ATTAAAACTCTTAACCCTTAGTAGAACAAATAGATCAAACTAAAGAGGAAGACGAGTGAAAGTTGAGCACAGAACTTCCATCCAATAACTATACTGAAGGCGATAAGAGCTTTTAAGTGAGAGGTCCAGCAGATCTCAACAACTGCTCAAAGATTTAGTGCTCCGTTGATGTCCTCAAACAGTTTTTCTCTTGAAAATGACATTATTGGAACCTAAAACACCAGATCCGTTCCATCGCTATCAACGCAGGGACAGTCCCCATTCAATGTAGCTAAAAAGTCAAAATACAGATTTCTGAACCTAAAACAAATGAGGAAATTGTAGCTTAGACAAAATTTTAATGGAGCGATTACGGCATTCAAAGGAATAAAATTTCTAAAGATCAGTCATTTTAGAATACAAATTTGATTTTGAACATGCTCACGGAAATTTTGCATAGTGGAACCTCTATCGAAACAATTGAGCAACTTATCTACTGCGGGACTGTTGCGGTTATTCGGCAAATGGAGACAAAATTCTCATCAACAAACTGAAAGTGGTTTCATAAAGCCAATAGGAGAGCCAAGGCCATGGGAACTCCTACTTACTGTCGACTACTTTGAGAAGGACTGTTCAGGGATCTCTTTTTTGGACCGCACGCATATTCAGGGGTTATCCAGAGTTGAGTATGTAAAACTTGTTCAAGAAATAGTGTCACCAAGACTTTCGGAGCACCATCAAAAACAAGCTATTGTGTAGCCAAACTCGCCTGGATGACTTGAAGTTGTATGCTGGAAACGCTGAACAACGATAAGGACTGTATGCTTTAATTAAAAACTCTTCAGTAACCAGTCAAATAAAGTTTCGCGCCGAACATTAACTATACTCAATCTCGCTAACTCCAGAATGGTGCTATCATCCCCAAATATCCACGATACCAGGGCGCTATCGAAGCAAATGGCACTAGATGCTCTATACCATCCCAGATCAGATTAATAAACAAACTGGCACAGAAAAACTATAATTAGCAGCAACCGCCTGATAGACGTTTTGACGTTGTTAGCTCAAGGAACGAGATTACTAAGAAAATACCTTGGTTAAGTTATAACTTCAAGAAGCAATGTTGTGAGTACAAGAAGTTCCCGCCGACACTTAAGCACCTCGATTGCGTCGTTACCATTAGATAGTATCCTTAGATTTTTTGAACTTCTATTTTTCTTACATTTCTATTTATTTAAAAGCCATGAATGCTTTCATTATATGTTTTATCTTATATAAAATGCTTATGTAATCTAGGGGAGATACCCAAAGGAGGATGAGTAAATAAAATAAAATAGTAATAAATGGATAAATATTAAAAAAAATTAATTATAATGTAAAAATATATTTGAAAATATAATTATTAAACTTTGGACAATCCTATGAAGGTCCTAAATTTCATTTCTTAATTTAGTATTTATGATAATATATTTTTCATTTATTCTAATATTCAATGCCTAATTAGTAAGTTGTCGTCTTATTTATCATAGTTACGTTTACTAATCGATATGCTCTGAAGTATACATACAATTATTTAGTTATCTTACAAAAAGGATAAAGAGAAAAATTAAAAAATTTGTCTGTAAATGTAGACAATTTAATAAACATTCCTTAAGGAAAAAATTAATAATTTAATAATAACTGCCACAGTGAGTGGGGAAATAATATTTAATAAAAATATTTTAATTTTGCTAAAATTAATTTTTTCTTAATTACTAATTTTCATAATAATTAATACTAATTAATCAAAATATATATTTTTATATAATTTATCAAATAAATTGTTCGCCCATTCGCTATCTCTTGATACCCGCGTATCGAACAGTGCGTGCAACTCGTTATTCGTTAGATCCTCGTTCGCTGCTCAACTGCTTAAATGTTTGTTTTGTTGTAAAAATTTCTTTAGTTTATCATTTGGTCTTACACTTTGCAGAAATCAATTAAATTTACAAGCTATTTCACGCAATTGTTTTTTTATCAAATTGTTAAAAAAAATTAGTTGTAAGAATTATGGGAAAAGAATTAGAATTTTTGTTCATTATGTTCGAAAAAAATTCGAATTGTTCGAGCTTATGTCGGAAACTTTCGACTCGAGTAGCTCGAAAGTATTTAAACACAATTTTGAGTTTTAAGATGTGGTTCTTATTAGCTACACGACGGTTAAAATGCTTTATTAATATATATATATATATATTGTAATATAATATTATGAATAGGATCTTATTATACTCTTATTTATACCTATACTAAATAGCAATAAATCATTTTGAATATATTTGAATACGTTTTGCATTCATCTGAGGCACATTTAGTTTATAATTTTATTTTAATTAATATTAAAACTAACACGTCTAGTTAAGTTACGAAATCATAATTTTTGTATAAACAATGCGTAGGACTTGGGAGTAAAAAGCTTTTTACATGAGATAAAAATCAAAATAATTAAATAAAAATTATTGGTTTATTACATCTAAATATTTGTTTTTTGTTCACACAGACACTCAATTAATTAAATATGTAATCGAATTTTAAATTGAAATAAAATTAGGCATTAAAAATAAAATTAAGTAGTGATTAATTGTAATTTGTAGAGAAATTGCTAGCCTGGGGAAGTTTAATTCTAAGGATAACAAGTCTTTTCTGTCAGGATATAAATGCGATTAAAAAATAAGTAATAAAATGCAGTGTCAGCCAAAAAAAAAAGAAAGAAGTAACGAATAGAGGGTTGATATATATATATATATATATAATATAATGGGTTGAAGCGATTTTTCTTATCTAATTGGTGAATATATTACTCTCAAAACAATTTGCTACAAAATTCGCTGATAAAATCATTAAAAAATCTGATTAATAAAAAATTCGTTCAACCAATGCAATCAAGGGAGTTTTACAACTATGGTTTCGTAATGAAAAATCTTCTTAGTTAGAGTTTATATAAACCTAAACTGTGTTTTACTCAGTAATCCTTTTGAGAGTCTCGTCTTCTGACTGCTTCCATCCATCTCTGTGGCCTTGAATAAGTAATTGCTACTGCCAAGCTGATTGACTTTATTGAAAGAGATTATATGGAATGAGCGGAAGTAAACAGTTCCATTTGGTATCTCCGGCTCTGAGCATCATTTGTAATATTAGGTGTTGAATTTTGTGCTGAGAGAGAAGTTTTAATTTTTCCAACGACCTATAAACTCTAGAATGAAATGAAATGAATCTAGCTATAAGCCTTATCCATAACCACTTCCATAGTTTACACCCAAAAGGAAAAAATAATGTCGTGAACAAGTACATCTCCTGCGAGTTATTTATTTTGTTGTTGTTGTAACTCCGCAATAATTTTCAAAATTGCTTTCGAGTAATTTGTAAGAATGAGAGTTCTTTGACGTATAGAAAACCGGTTCATGTGTCATAGGAAGCTTTGGATTTGTGTATGATATTGTGATAGGCATGTCGTACCGCAAGAAAATTCTCCCAAGCACGATGTATTTAAAACAGAGACTCAAGCGGGCTGTTCTCAGCCTCATTACATGAGCACTTTCTTCAACGCCATAAGCGTCATAAGCGCAAAACGCAGTAAAACCAAAGTAAAAGACAAGTCCAAAGACTAAACTCTACACCATTCTCAGCAGATAACAACTCAGATTTTTGTTACCATATATTTTCGATAAGAATTCTAGTAGAGCAACGAATATGAAAATGCAACAGATTATCATCAACGATCCGTAAACATCATTATCGACGCTTCAAAATTCGATGGCGAGGTCGCTTCATTATCTCGGTCTGTGGCAAAACACCTGCTGGGATTGACATGCATCAGTGATACTGGCAATAAATGGTAAGGAAAAACTTTATTTAATATAACCAAAGAGAACTCACTATTGCTGGAAGAGAATAGAGCCATGTTTCTACTTTCTTAAACCATGTCAAGCGATGGACGATGTGCTATTTCTCTAATGGCAGCTGCAGTAACATAGATGGGGTGTCCCTCCGGCTGAAACGACTTACTTTCCTGGAAAATTTTCAAGCCGACGTGCTAGCTAGAAGGCAACTGTCCGACGATATATTTTCCCTGTCTTATTGAAAAGAAAACTGCTAAGGTAGACCTGCATCAGTAATACCAACAAAAGATGGCGCTGTGAAACTGCTTACAATGTATGCTAGCAAATCTAAATATTTATAGAAAGGAAAGGAATAAAATATCTACTTCTTCCTTCTAAAGCGACCCTCCAGACTCGTTCATTCGGGGCATAACCGCACACTATATGACGGGGTTTCACATGTAGGAGCCCAGCCTACGTCTCTATCACAGCTGCAGGGGCATATATATGAAGAGGAGTCGGTAGAATATTATCTCTACCAGACTCACGCGCTCAGTGTGCTCTTGCAATGTTTCTCTGGTAATTTGTATTTATACTGCCCAGACCTGGTACAGATTTTCACATTTTTTGTGGTGTTCAAAAAAAAAATAAAATTCCTATTTCATTTCACTGCGATGGATACTCACACATTTACATACATTTTATTAAAAAAAAAAAAAAAATTATTTAAAAAATATGATAATAAAATGAAGAAAATTCAATTTAAAATTTTACTAAATTTATTTACTTATACATGTAGACGGTTATATAATATAATATATAAAATATATATTAATACATAAAACTTAACTGAGTTTGTGTGCGTTTTTTGGAGTGTACTTACATTTAATAGAAGTATTTTTTATATACATATTGATATACATATACATTTCGTAAATTTTTTGTATGCATTTTGTATTTGTTGTTGTATAAATTATTTCTCTAATGCTATTGACTCTTATATGCTATCCACAGATATATACCTACACATACATACATAGCTATGTAGTATATGTATGCAAGTTCGTGATTTCTTTTCACTTCGTGTACTTATTTACTTATGTAAATGCTAAATAAATGTATATGTATTTTATTTGGAATTGGAAATTTTTCTCTTTAAATATATACTTAAACATACATATATATATATATAAATTTTTTCATCCTGCCTTCGTTTACTTTAAACTTACAATTTACTTAAGTTTCGTGAATTTCAATTCATTTATCACCATTTAGTATCGCATCTCAGCGCGTCGGCACGTACAAGTTGACTCGTATTGTGTGTTGATGGAATGTGATCCATGGGCGGGTGGAGTATGCTTGTTGTTGTCATTTTGTCATTGTTATTGTTGTTGTTGTTAGGCGAAAGTAGACCAACTGACGTTTACATTAAGCAGCTTAAAGGACGTATTGAAGCAAAGAAAAATGGAACAGCAACACATCACAGAATACATGGCAGGGCAGTGGAGCAGTCAACGACGGATAGTGAGCTTGGGACGAGCTAAAACTCCATCGTACAACTCCCTTGGAAATGCCTCCTACTACATACTGCTAAGCTGACATTTGCTCATGACTTTTGATTCAGGCGCTAACCACTTCGCCGCTCCAAGCTTTGGCCTGTACCTTATTTGGTTTATTTGTCGCTCAACTTGTTGTTGGAACTTGGCTGGCATTGGACTTGGCTACTGCAACAACGCCTCTCGCACACTTACAGTGTATTCTGTTTGCTGTTGCTGTCGTCGTCAGACTTGGTTGTCGCCGTTAAACGTTTCTGTCGCGTACGCTTTTTCGGTTGCAGCGAGTAGAGTCGCCCACTGCGCGGTCGTGCCTGCGGTTCGTTGGCGCCGAGGCACGCATTGGAGTTGTTCGTTAATTGATAGCTGGAAAGATGGTGGGGGAGCACAAGGAATATTTTTTGTTAATATAAATCTTAAGCAAGGGCATGAGGTGTACATATATGTATGCATGTGTATGTATGTGTGTGCGAGAATGTGCTGAGAAGAAAAATTCGTCAGAAAGTTGTGTAAAGTTCAACGACCGTCTACGTGCGCGTGTTTTACACACAACCCAAGCCAATCACGAACCGATTCATGTTCCTGGTACACTCCTCTCAAACTGCCTTACACCCTACATGCTCCCTCCCACCCACGAACTCTCCAAACCCGCCCCCAACCTCATACTCACTTTGCTTCCAGCTTCGCCAGCCGCTGCTTGAGCTTCGCCTGACTTGCCGTATACTCAGCGAGTAAGCGTGCCAGCCGCACATTCAAATTCTCCACGGACATCTCTAACTTTTCAATACCACTTTCGATGCTGTCGTGTGCGCGTTGTGAATCTGTAAATTAAAAAAGTTTTTGTAACAGATTTGCTTAAAAAAAATATATTTGCGCCTTAAACTCATTTACACACATTATTCACTTGCATTAGTCACACAGTCAGTCACTTGGTTGGCTTGTATACATACCCGCAAACACACTCTCATCTAGCAGGCCATCCTTGCGTAGCAACTGGCAACCGCGTTCGGTGAGTGTCGCACGCGCTTCCGGATAATCCGACAGTGTTTCCCATAAATCGCGTTTCGCGAGGCAAAAGAGATCTGAGTAGCCCAGTGAACGTACATTCGCTGTGCGTCGATTACCCGTACGATTGCCCGCTATCTCCAGCACAGATACTTCGCCGAAAACCGAGCCGGCGCCGAGTGTAGCAAAAACTGTCACACCATCATCGGCGACCACCGAGAGTTTACCGCGTTTCACTATATACATCTCCTTGCCAACGTCACCTTTACGGCAAATATAGTCGCCAGGGCTGAATACTTGTAGTTTTAGTTTTAACACAAGCGCTTCCAGCAGTCCTGGCTCGCAGTCGTGAAAGATGCGCACCTGTTTTAGCGTATCCATATGCACTTGTATGGCGATTTCGGCTTTCAGCTTGTCGGGCAGTGCAGCGAGTACGCGTTCTTCGTCCAGCGCGCCACTCTGCGACCACGTGTAGGCAAACCAACGTATCACACGTGCCTCTAGCTCGTGGCCTACCTTGCGGAAGGCCATATATTGTTTAACGCCATCCATGCGGTTTTGGAACTCGACGCGCGCAACATTCATGTTGGAGATCATTGAACCAATGTTACCTGGGGGCGTACAGAATGAGGTTGTTATGAGAAAGTGTGATATAATCTTATTCTAAAATGATGACGAAACAGTTTGAGAGACCTACAGAAAATCTGAAAAATAATGTGGTCTATCGCTATTGAGATGTTGCTGAATAATGGAAATATATTTTAAGTCCCGTCTCGCTTATGATACTAACAATTCTCTCTACAGATATTTGAGTAAAAAAACTGGAGCATTGGATTACCAGCTTTAAGAAACCCCTGAGAGCCCTGCCTGGTCATATTTAACTCATAGATTGCATATCATCCTTTTCACTGTGGAGCTGCATTGTGACTTCATCTGGTCTCCGCAGAACATTAATCCTCTTTGGCTATTCGCTGCTTGCTATTTTTTTAATAAACACCATCAAATCGAGACCAACCCTTATGCACGGTTGGAGTTTAGAGACTTATAATTGGGGAAATAATGAGATCTTCTTAGGTAGACTTCTGTCAGAAGCAGAAAACAGTGTTCTAAATCTTCGTAATCATTTAGGCGATATCGAATGCTCGACCAAGAGCGCTCCTTCTTCGTTAATCTCCATGATGCAGATGTCAACTGGACTGAATTTTATGCTCCAAGAGCGTTTTGTTTCTTCTTCGAAAGCTGTGAAGAATTCTATGGAACTTCAGGCAGACTAGCTTGGTCTTATTTCATAAGGAGATGTTAAGAAAAATGATAGGTCAGCAGGTAAGCATGTAAATAGGACGGTTGTTTTAAGAAAGCGTACAGTATAAGCTCTACTAAATATTTAAGTGTCTTTTGAGAACGTTCTTCAGGTTGAAACTATACCAGTTGGTTTATCTTTACTATTCCTTTCGGCTTATCGACCTTGATTTTGTTATATGCGATGATCTTACTAAGAACCCCTCCACGCTTTTTTTAGTTTTGTCCTCAGATCAGTCTTAATCCTTACCTTAGCTGTTTTCTTGGTCACTTCTGACTCTTATCTAGGTCATTGTCTGGAACATTGTTTTAATACCTTTGCATTTCTGGTTGGCCTCTCTTTACTCTTTTAGGTGGTGGTCTTGTTCTTGACTTTCTTCAACTCTGCTATAAAGACCTCGAACGAAAGGGAACATCCAAGAAGCATTTTAGTTCACCTTCATTGTTAGCTCAAAAGTGTAACTTCTCATCTCCACCTCAACTGCGGCGGAAAATCCTGACTTTTAACGTAAATTCGTGAGCTCACTTTTAATTTTCCCAGTTTCCTTACTCTTTTTCCTTTTTAAACTTTGGTTATTTGCTTACTTAATTATAGCAAACATTTTTTCATGCTTTTAAATATTAGAACCGCAATGCAGCAATGTTGTTTGGCACGTACGCCAGCCCACTCCAACACTTTGCCAGAGCTTAACGTGACTTTGTGAGAACGCAACAAGAAGTAGCCATGCCACGATGCGAGGTTTGATGCTGATGGACGACCATCTGTCATTTCGCCGCCAACTTCATCACCATCAAAGACAAGTATGCGAACGGCTATGGTTGGAGTGAGACAAACACGGAAAAACGACAGGACGCTAACGAGTTCAATCCTTTGAACTACGTTGCGAACGACAAAAGGCTTCTCAGGGTCGAACAATTCATTTACTTCGATGGCATAATAGCACCAATTAAGTTATCAACAACACGGCGAAAAAACAAAAAGAGTCACGCAAAGGTGCTTTCAACAAAAAGGATGTCAGTATAGACGTACATTTTTAAATATATACAGTAATGAATATGTATTTATGGAAATATATTAGTATGGATGTCAGCCAGCCATTCATTGTTATTGCGCAAATATCAGAGAGTCATTGAATAAGTCGTAGGTGAAGGATACTGATGGTTTACTTTAAGTTAGTACACATTTAATTGGGCGTGGGCGATGGTTGTATGAACGCAAGCTCTGGGTTTACGATTGTCAATGATAGAAATTTGCAACTCTTTGTTCAGCGTGTCTTCTATTTTATCATGTGCATTATTTCCTAGCATAGCTTTGGAAGCAAATACCCCTTCTTCACTCCACCAATAGTCGTGCCCACGGATCTTGCGATCCTAAATTATTATCACATTTCTTACTTTTTCCCCTCATGCATCTTCATATGCAGACATTTGAACACTGGATACTAAGAAACATAGTCTCCTTTTAAGCATGTTAAGCTCCAGTTTTCTTAGCCTAACGAACTTTTGGGTCTATTTTAAGTGTTCCTCTAAAGTAGGTTGTGACAGCAGCGGCAGTGCCAGCAGCTCGCCTCGTCGTCATGTGATCTACTTCACAGAGATTAACCCATCATTCTTAGGCCTTTTCAGGACTGGATACAATGATTTTAAAGTGATGAGGCATGCATTTCAATTGTCTAAAAGCTTTGGTATTTTACTGACTTGATGTGGGTTTTCTATCCTTCTGGTTTAAACCACGTAGGTAGTTTAGACTCCTATTTTGATACCTGGCGGTTTGGGGGGCTGCCAGTGCCGATTTTTACTACTCACTATGCGAACATAGTTCTACGTTTGTTATCCTTTTTGCCACTCTCCGCCCTTCAATCGAAGCGCAGCTCCGACTTTGTTTTACAATACGGATTGCGGTCTCTTATAACCTACTAGAAATAGGTGTCTCCCAAGGAATTCATCCAACGCGGTTGTCAAGGCTGGACAGGGGCAGATGAAATGTTGAAAAGAGGCTTCCTCTTCTTCGTCCCTCTTAAACAGTGTTCTTTTACTATACCTGTCTTTAAACCAATAAAGAACCGGTCGAGAGAGATCAGATGATAGTGGAGATAAAACTGGTGCCCAAGGTGTGGTAAGTCTAGTGATGAATCTCTAAGAATCTCGAAGATATTTGTTTGTCAGTAGAGACTCCAGAAGGTGAAGATATTCCATTACAGATTGAAAAGGATGTGGTTAAAATTCCCCTCTATATTGAGAAAGATACCCATCGTATACTTGTCCAGGGCAATCTCTTTTTCTAGAGGCGATGTTCGAGGATAACTGCTGACGGTAGTATTTCAAAGATATTCGATAGAAATGAGGTAGGATGGTTGGGCCGACTACTACTTTGGCTTGTAGTTCTGCGGGGAAGATATACTTGGACCTTTATTGTGTTTTAATGATTTTATTGACCCATCCGTACCTATGCGACATATAATGCTGCTGATATCTCGAGGTTGTTCTATCTGGGCGCCGAGCATCGCCGAAGGAGTCTATTTGGATATCCATCTGACTTTTGTAGAAAGCTTTCCTTAGATTGCTTCTTTTTAAGCTTTAATTAATATTACTGCGGAAGAGTTTCGAATATCTTTTTTATGCTTTCTCTTCAACTTTTTTCAGATTTGTGACAAAATTTATAAGATTGTCAAGAGCATGTTCTTTAGGCTTCATTAAAGAATTTTCTGATAACCTTCCAAAAATTTGAGATTTTCTATTGGAACAGCTAAAAAAAGACATGAGGCCTAATAAGTGGAAATACAGACTATTGCGACTAAATCCATTACTTGATCAGTTTTCGGCGATTAGTCAAGCTTACCGTAAGAAACCGATCTTACTCTAGAAGGCAGCAGATCTTATCGATTAGCTAAACTTGTCGCGAGAGGCTCTTATCATGGGCTTTGTCTTGATGTTTGTTCTACTGACTCGGATATGAATTAGTCCTGGTTAAATTTTCTAACTTTGGCTGCTGCAACTATTTTTGGCCTGGAGATCGATTTACTCTTCGTTTTAGTAAAGGATCTGATTGACTTTCATAAGTGTAGCCTTGCTATTAGTTTTGGAACCAGTCTCGTTTTCTTTGTTTCCTACATAGTGTTTTGGGTTAATGAGATAAAACGGGCGGTTTCAAATAAAGTCATTTCTTTTAAGCTGAGATTCTCATGGTCCTTTAACAATTTCCAAATTTGTTTTACTCAAATATTCAAGTCACCAAATACTCACCCACAATTGTGGCGAAGATCAACACACCAGCCAAGAAATCAGCGACCACAAACAGATACTCCGCATCATTTTCGGGCGTTGGCGTCTCACCAATCGTGGTTAGCGTCAGCGTAGACCAATAAAAGCTATAAATATATTGACGCTGCAGTGTACTATTCCGTGGGCCATTCAGATTGTACACCCAATTGTCGGAACCAAAACCGAGGTAATAACTAATCGCAAAATACATGCAGGCATTCCAATGGATGAGCACCAATATAGCAAGCACCACTTTACAAATACGAAAGGCATTCGGGTAACCAGTCGCCGTTTCCGTACGATCAAACCATTCCCACAGGCGAGGGGCGCGTAGTAAGCGATTCAAGCGCACTATCACGGGGCAGGGTAGACCACGCGCACTACACGAGCTCGGCGACCACCAAATGTAGGCGAGATCAGTAGGCAGCATGGAGAGCACGTCGATGGACCAGCCTTTGGTGTGAAAGTAATGTCGACGCAGTTTGTAAGCATCACGCACCAGGAGGCCTTGATCCAAGTAACCTGTGAGCGAAGAAAGATAGAGAAAGAGAGAGAGAGAAAGAGAGAGAGGGAGAGAGAAATAAGATTTATTAGTACATGATTAGTTCTGAGCTTGCCTGCCGCTGCTTACCTTCATGCATGTGCACTAATGTATCTATCAGATAAATGGAATCACATAAATAGTCTAAAAAGTACCAAAACGTTGGAGCACGATGATTTATCTCCCAAAATACCGAACGACCCACAACGAAGATTATGTTATAGAGCACAGCTAAGGATACGATGCCCAGCCACTGCATAAAGAAGAGAGAGAGAGAGAGATAAATAAAATGAAAGTCAAATCACTTGGGAACAGATTTATTTACTATGTCAGAGTTGCATACGCGCAAATAGAGAAAGTGAGAACAATAAAATCTAGTCGAGTGAGAGAGAGAAAGGAGAGCGAGCGAGATGATGTTAAAGTTGCAGCTCTCTTTATGATTAACCACCGGTGCGATAAAGTCAGTTAATCACTCACTCTCTCTCTCTCTCTCGGTTAGCGCACCTGTTATCCACACATGTGTACTCACCCTATAGTGTGACTGCAGCGTCGGATTCACCGATAGCCGATTACACAAACGACTTGAGCCGCGTATTTCGCTGGAGAGGCCCTCATCGGCTGGTGCTATAGTCGTCGCTACAGGTCCGCTTGTACCTTCTTCGCTAGCCGTCAACGCTGATGCTGTTGTTATAGCTGTAGTTTTACCAATTTTATCAACATTATTTGTATTGGAGAATTTCTCCAGAAACCAATCGGGCGGTTTGGTGCGACTACGTCGCGTTAAACGTTGTTTCAGCGCGTTCAGTGTACGGCGCAGCATGGAAGGCTTTGTGCGTTTTGTTTGATCCTGCAGCGTTCGCGCAGGAAATGGCAATTGAAAAGAGAAAAGTAGAAGAGGAAAACTTATGTTAGTTAGTTCAATAAGGAAGTAGGTTGTCAAATATAATGTAGAACGATTCTTTAAATATATATTAAACTGTCTAAAAATTGAGCTTAGATGTCCACGACTGTTATTAGTGGCAGCGTCAAACTGTGTAAGACCATAGTAGCTTTCATATAAACAATAACAAACATAAATACACGTACATATATATTAAAGTTTTAGCAGACAATGAAAAGCGCTGACAGTGACAGCTTTTAATCCGCTAATGTGTCTGGGTTATGTGTGTTGCCTGCATGTGCCCATTGCATAATCCATATTCATCATACCAACCATTGTCTTCGAAATGTCAGAAGTTCGTATTTGAAATCACAATATAAATGTCACACTGACAACACTGCTGTGTTGTGGCCTTGAGCGAAAAAGTCGATTAGAATTGTGAATTAAATGGAGAATGGCGAATGTCATATTCGAGATTGAGAAAGCTTTGGGGTTGTAGATTTATTAAAGCAAGTCAGATTTTAACCTTAAGGGGACCCCCCAATGATTTTGGGTAAAATAAAACATTTTCTTTTTGCAAAACTTGAAGCCAAATATTTGAAGAGTATGTGTTTGAAGAGAGTTTGCAACACTATGAATATTTTTCAAATGACAGCTTATCGAACACACTTGTCTCACGCACGCAATGCAAACATTCAAAAAACTTTGAACGCGTTTTTATCGAAGCCATGTTTTCCGATCCAACTTCAAGCCTAGGGCTTGATCTATCCGCTCGATTTCTTTTATCTAAAAACTGTTTCAAAATATAAAGTATATATTTATATTTTTTTTAATTAATAGAGATGAAAAAGGTAACAAAAAATTTAACTTTGTAATTGCAATGGGGATTATGCAATAAATTTATAGTTAAGCTTGCTTGAGTTGAGATTCAGTACAAAGAAAACTTTTTGATCTTCATGTAATGACAAGAATTTCTAATTTCAGTCTACTACAACACACTGTAGGCTTGAAGTTGTTGGGCCACGTTTTTCGGGCAGAGGCCGACGGAAAGCGCAATTTTGTAGCCATCATTTTGAAGTTCGTCTACTTTTTCTGTTGTTTTAAAATTTTAAATATTAAACAAATTTAATAGTCAAAATCGGAAGTTCGTACGCCTCTTCATTCTTCCACAAAAACAAAATTCTAACTTTGCCTGAACTTTGCCCAATATGAGGGGAGGTTCTTCTTTAGGGGTTACATCTAGTAAGAATTTTTAATTTTTTTTTTCAATTTCATTTTCGTAATGTGCATGCATTCAAGTAAATACTTTGAAAATTTCAAGTCGAGCCGACCGTAATTTTGGAAGTAACACGCATATCTGTTACGACGCCTCAGAGCATTTGAAAGCGGCTTTTGGAACTTTAACTCTGTTTTTCTCAAAACTATGTTTTTCAAGTCGGCAACCAAAAGATTGCTCGGAAACGGTTGAACCGATTAGTCTAAAATTTTTCATGGGCTTCTGAGCAATGTTTTCTAGTGAATGATCGATGTTTATGCTTTACCGACGATAAGTTTTTTAATGCGCAATTCAAGACTAGAACTATAGAGAAAAATTTATTTTTTCTGAAAAGCCCCCATTTTTTCATAAATTTTTTTGGGGTTTTTCCTACAATTAATCACAAGCTTATTACTTTAATGGTGGTCACCATGAACGCATTTTTTTGGGAGAAGTCTCTGGAGATCCACTGTAGCACTTCAAAAACTGTTGTTTTTATAAATGAAAAATTTCCAATTACTCTTCGAAGGTGCCGTATATAGTATGTGTACAAATGCTCAAAATAATAAAGCTAAAAGTTTCCTCGTGATGAATGTTCGAAAAACCTCATCTTTTAGGGTTCCTAACTAAATTTAACCCCTTATAGAAATATCCACTTATTTCTTAGCCTCAGAGCTAAGACTGGAAAAATTTAAGCTGTGCAACAATAACATTTTAAATTTAATAAAATTAATTTTTCAAGATTTTTTTTCGCAACTTGAGAACTATATTACGATCTTCATATTTGAATGAACGAGATCGAAAGCAGTTGAATATTCTGATGAGGAAGGAGTTGGAAGAATTGTAAATGGTAAATGATAACTATCTAAGCTGGAAGAGTAGGTGAGAGAGGATTCTTTAGAGTAGGAAAAGATGTTAACAATTGTTAATCTGAATTTATTCATCGACCCCATGGCTCTTGACGGAGCTCGTAGCTGAGCTTCCTGTGTGAAATTAGTGGTGGTTCGAGACGGCCAATGGTTTGCGTCTGCAATTTATTGAGCGCTGATGCTCTTTAAAATGGTATTCTTGGCAACTTTAAGTTGTTCGTGGTGCTGACAAATTTTATTTTTATTTAATTTTATTACTTCATCGTTCACTTCAGAAGTTCCATGTATAAATTCATGTAATCATGAGTACACCAAGAAGTTGAAAGAAACAAGCTTAGATATTTTATATTTCATTTAGAATATCGTTTAAAATGATCTCAAATATTGCCGAACTCTTTTGAGGGTTTAAGTTTTTTTGGCTTTTAAGTAAACTTTTACTGACTAAATTTGTCGAATCGGTACTCTGAATGGTAGGTTGTCTCACAAAAGCAGAAATGCACAGGCCTTTTTGAATATGTGTGGCTTCGAATTTCCGGCACAACTAATTTTGCGGCACTCAGGTTTGTTACCAGAGCAGAGCTCCTCTCGATGTCGGTTGGTATTATGAGAAAATCAAAATATATTTAGCGATAGATGAGAAGGAGAGTATGAAATATGGCCAAAGTGCTGTAAAATTCTAGGGAAAGACTTTAGATCTCATGCCCAAAGTCTACTAGGTTTAAGGAGGGTAAATTGGTCCAGTATACTGAATGGCAGTGGAAATGGAACGGACTGCAAATATCACATTTCCTTCCGGCAAAAGTGTGCATTATTTTTTCAAACTAGATGTTCATGACTGCTGCTGAGAATTTAACATTTGTGTGCCACGAAGAATGGCTCAATACAGCACCGAAGTATATATACCCCCTCTTGGTTGGAAATGGCAAAGATTTATTTTGTGACTGAATAAGTTTTCTTAGAAAACCTTCTAGTTTACAACGAAAATCGCCTTTACTGCAGAAATTTACTCTTAAATATTTTATTGGTCTGTTCAAGCTACCTTAATTTTTATAAATAATTGCTAGTTGAATTTTAGAAATAAAAAATAATTTATATATTTGTTTACCATTTCGTTGGTTCCAGTTATTGTAGAAACATCTACCGAATGCACCATTTTTTTTTAATATTTGATATTTGTATTTGCTTAATTTGTTGTACGACTTTTTGACTCAGAAGGTTTTCCAATTTTTATTTTTCCAAACGCGTAAACCGATTTCTAATTCTGTATGCGACCAAGATAGGCACTTCATTTGAAAAGAATTACGCAATTCACTTTTCATACAAATTTTTTGTGTAATTTTATTTTTTAATCATTGTTGCCAAATGTCTCATCACTTCTACATTTCAAAATCACACTTTGTTCACTTGGGTAAGAAAAATATAATTAAACATTCCAAAGAAATTTTCAATAAACTCACTGCTGTCGTCATGCATGCATTGCCTATTACACGCATTGTAAATGAAAAATATTCTTTTTTTTTTGTAATTTATAAATAAGTTAGATAATAAAAAATTGAATCGAAATTAAAATTCCGCTGCACGTTGACAGAAAAACAGTACAGAAGCTTACAAGCTTCTACAAGCAGGCGTATGCGCTCGGTGCGGTAGCGGCGGGGCGTATGAGCAACATACTTGTACACAAATCACATATGAGTAGTTTATTGTCGCTTTTTTTTTTTTTTTTTTTTTTTTTTTTTTTTTTTTTTTTTTTTTTTTTTTTTGTTTTTTGGCAGTGTCTTTTCATAGCTGCCGGTCAACGAGTTGCGCATGTGCGTATAAATTACACAATTTGTACTTCAAAATTATTTTTAATGCGAAAAATTAGAAAAAAAAATAACACAATTTTTTCCTAAGAATAAATTAACTTTCGTCGTGATTTTTGCGCAAGTTAAACGCTGCCGGTAGACACGTCATGCGGTTTAGCGGTAGCTAGTTACAAGTAGTATGTAATGATTAGCGACTTCGCAGTTACGCGCCAGTGTGCTATGGTTGTCATTTTGGGTGGCGCATGCGCAAGCATTTCTACGACGCGTACACTAACGCCTTGTTTACAACAACTTTATTACTACTTGTTGCTAATAAATACGTAGTTGTCAGGCGTTTATGGTTAGACAACAAAGTTCCGTGCCTATAAATGCAAGCCCGCAATTGGCTTTACAGAATTTTCCATCGAAAAGTTGTTAGTGAATCTATTGTTTGTTTTTTTTTTTTGTTGAGATATTTTATGTTTTGTAAACACTTTTCTGTTTTTTTTTTGGATGGGATTATTATTTACAACTTTTTTCGGTTTACATATTAATTAATCTTTGTGCAAAGGTTATAGATATTTTTCACAATTTTTTTCATTTTAATATATTTATTTATTTTCACGAGATATTTTTTGTTCACAATTGAAAATTTAAACTTTAAAAGTGTTTTTTATTAATTTAATCATTAATAAAAAAAAACTAAACAAAACTAAAACAAAAATAAACTAAATTTTTTAAGGATATACAACATACAGAATATGATGTTTGTATGTTCTATTCCTCTGGCCTAGATAAAATATTCTCATCTTTAATATGTATTTAAAGGATTCGGAAATTTCGTCTACTCGCTTGAGTAGTGAACGGAAAGATCTAAAAATGTGACTTCATACGAAATTCAATAATTCTCTTAGAAGACGCAATAAATGCGAGAAACAAAAACACAATAAAATTAGAGCAGCGATTATTAATGGGCGGGCTCTTTGCCGTTAAGAAGTAGGAGCTTAAAGAGATATCACCCTAGTTGAAACCACACTAAATTTAATGTAACAGATAATGTAGCGCTAACATCAATATCACCATATACCATAAAAGAAGGTTTTCTACTGGGTATATCTGCCTGTCTGTAATCGATAAACTCTATAATTACCAAACGGATTTTCCTTTGCTTGCCACCGATATACGAATAAAGTGAGATTTTTGAGAAGGTTAGCGACTACAATTTTAAGTAATAAAATTTAATTTAAAATGTTTAAAAGTTACAAGTCTTAAAGTTAAAGTTAAGTTAAGTTTTAAGTTGAAAGTATCGCTATAGAAGCGACTGACGTATTTTTAAATAATTTATATTTTCCGAAAATTAATCTTTCTTAAAGGATTAAAACCTTTTTTAGAACCCAAAATAATGGAAGTTCAGCCGTTATTTAACCAAAAGCAGCAGGGAATTGATTTGATTGACAAAAGCATTACAAATGTAATAAATTTTTGAAATTGTTCACTTCATTAACACTTTTCACAAATTAATACTTTAGTTTTTAGTTAGTATACATGGTGGTACTGAAAAGTTTGTGGTTTTCTTTCAAACTATGTTGTTTTCTTAACTTCGAAAACGACAAGTCGGCCTTGCTAATAGCAGCGTAAGTCAAGTGGATTAATACAAAAATAAAATTTCAAGGTAGAAGAAAATTTTTGCTTATGAAACAAAAGTAGAAATCTCCATCACTAGCTCATCAAATATTTGCGAAAGATGTACAATTTTCTTACAATATTCAGCGAAATGAAGAGTTCTTATAGAAATACAAAACCTCTTAGTTCGGTTCTATCTTATGGAAATACAAATTTAGAACTCAAACACAATTTAATTTTATCTATGGTTGTTGGAAAAGTATGAAACTCATTCACAGAAACACCATCTACACAAATATATTATTTATTCGAAGCTCGAAAGATTTTAATAAAACTCGTAGTTGTTTCTAGTGAACACGACATTGACGTACAAAGATTAAAAAATATTTCGTTGAAAATTATCCTTGGTACAAAATGCCTCAAACACTTCACAAATATTTCATCCATGGACCAGAAATAATATTATACCCTCTGTAACCGATCGAAAAATTGTCAGAAGAAGCTTAGGAGGCACGAAACAAAGCTTTCAAGACTTTTAGAAAAGATTTTTCTCGCAAATGCAACACATAAAAAGCATATGAAGACATATTTAACAGACTTTAAATCAATTCTGATATCGTTATATCTACCAGAAGAAAATTTGCCGCAAAGAAAGTGCAGGATTTAAGGGAAAAAGCCTTAGAGATGAGCGTGAGGAAAAGAGGCAAAAATAATAGTTGGAGATGATGATGATGAAGGCAATTATCACAATTCAAGCAGATAATTATGATCATGTATATATTTCTTGATCATGTTTCAAATAACATTTGAACTTTTAATAAATAAAAATTTTTGAAAACCGATATTCACCTTTTTTATTTTAAAATAAAAAAAAAAACAAATCATTATGATAACTCTACTTGCATTATCTTTTTACTTCTTTATGATCAATTAACTAAAAAAAAAACAACTTTTCCGTAACTGTAGGCTCATGGGAACTAATCTCTATTTGGAGCACCATTTATCTAATTGTGCGCCGTCAGGCAGTGCAAAATGGGCCTCGTCGTTCATCAAGTATTTTTTTCACAAAAAAATCGGTTTTAGAGTTAATAATTCGCAACTATTTGAGCAATTCTCTGTTGAAGTAGAAACAATTTCGGTAATATTCTTCTATGGGTTGTTATTTGCTTTTAAAGTGAGAAACAGTTTCAAATAATCTTTCAAAACGATTTCCACTGATACCAAATACTGAAGCGTCGTGATGGTACAACTCTCTCTCTCTCTCTCTCTCTCTCTATCTATCTCTCTCTCTCTCTCTCTCTATCTATCTCTCTCTCTCTCTCTCTCTCTCTCTCCTGTTGTCGTGCTGTTTTCGAGGATCACTTAACTCATTTGCTTTCAATATTAAACTCGATAATTTTCTTGAAGTTGTCTTGCCGATTGGTAAATGTCAAAGTTATTCAATGCTCACATATCGACAGAAGGCTCACTGAATTAAGTGATTTTTATAAAATTTTTAAATGAAATTTGTCGGCATTTTGAGCAAGTTGGACAAAAGGATATTAAAAGCAAGCGAATTTGCTGGTAATCATTTTCTGTTTTAATTACCAGTAATTGACTGATATTTATTGGACAGTCTGGCGGTTTTTAATTGCACACGGAGCACGTCTTGTAAAGTTTTTGCTTGCGGAGAGCAATTTAAGTGTGCGCCTAGTACTTATAAGGATTATATGAGCGAATGGCTGAAATGGTCTAAAAAGTTCTTTCTAACTGTTAGACAGCCAGCCGACTCTTATCGAAAATTATTTAATAAAAAACTGAACGATTACGTAATTTATACGGAAGTATTGCTGAATAAAAATTTGGTATCAGACAACTGAAAGCACAGATCCTTAATTCTTTTATTTAATTTTTTTACTGGTTTATTGCTTTCTCCTTTCCAAAAGCGATATCATGTTTTTTTTTTGGACCCTTTGCAATATTGTCAGACTGAGGAATTACAGTGATATGTAGATGATTTCAAAAATCACACATTAGATATAAACATATACTTTTTATTTTTTTTATTATTTAAATTTTTTCGTAAGTAATAAATAAATTAGTATAATTATTTATTTCATTTTCTTTTTTTCACCACACACAACTAACTGAAAATCACACGTAAACTGCCTTTGTCTCCTTTACAACGTTTTGCGTTTTGCGATTTGAGGCGCACACGCATGCGCGTTGAACACATTATTATGACTGACACTGACAGCGACACCGCCGATGCAAAAACGTAATTATCAACGTTGTAATCAAACTATTCTCAAGCGTAGTTAGGCTGTGAGAGGCCAAAAGTAGTGATGAGCGCGTTTGTAACGTCAAAAATAAAAACAAAGCAAAAACAGAAAACAAATAAAAAGCAGCTAAAAATAATTCCAATCGAGCAACAATAACTTGATAATTTTGTTTCATTTGACTAACCATTTTCAGTTGGGTGTGCGTTTACAGTGAGTTGAGTGTTGCGCTTCAATTAAAAATTTGTTGTTAACACGGTTGCCAATTAATTTGACAGAAATTGTTGTATCATAGGCGATTTGGTTGATTTGCAAATCAACTTTTTTTTTGAATTGTTTTTTAGCTATTGCTGGGAGTATTGATTTCGGTTTTTTTTTTGTCTATGATCTTATATACAAAATGCCTATACATATGTATGTATTCTTGTATATTGTTGAATTTGGGATTTCAGTTTTCTTGTTTTTTTTTCGTTTTGTGTTGCTCTCACAACAACTCGTTGACAATGCTGGCGGCAATTCATTGCTCAGGCCTTTGATTGATTTTTATTTATGTTTATATTTTGTATTATATTTTTTCATTTCTATATATGATTTTGTTTTATTTCGCTATTTTTATTTTTTATTTTTTATTTTATTTCTATTTTGTTTCATATTTTTATTTTTAATTAATTTTATTTTCTTTTTTTATACAGCTTGTTCAATTGATTTTTATTACAAACATTTTTTTTTTTCCTGTTTCCTTGTGGTTTTTTAAATAAATTATTCCATTTTTTACTACTTCTAGTTTTATTTTAGCTAATTTACATAAATATTATTGAAGTAATTAATTGGTGTTTTTAAATTTATGAAGTGACACTGCATAATATGCACAATTATCACTAAAGATTACGGTTAACTCTATAATTAATATTGTGTTATTCACATTTGATTGAATTTTGTTGACGAAGCAGGTTCTGAGAATTGTTTATGCAAAAAACAATGTGAACGGACGATCGTTGTGACAAAAATGAAATTGCATTTTCGCAAAAAAAAAATAAGAAAATTATGAATGTAAATCCTAGATCATAAGATTTAACGTTTTTAGACTATTTTTCGTTGGGCTATGTTAATCGAATGTCTGACAAGCCCGCTTCAATTGAAACATTGGAGGACAACATTGAAGCCTTTATTCGTGAGATACCGACCGAAAATGGGACTCCGTGTAAACCATATGAGGCGCAGTTACGGTAGAGATTTCCATGAAATAGTCTTCAGACCTTAAATTATTCGGATCGTGCTATAGATTTAAATAAAGAATTCATGCATTTTTCTGTATTTTATGCGTTTTTGTATTTTCCTATAGCTTTATAAAAATCCGCAAAGCTCAAACAGCTACCGATCGATTGACTTAAAATTTTGTCCGATTACTCTGTTCCTGGCATGATTTATAAGAAATAAAAATTTCGAAAGTTGAAACAGGGGCTGATCTCAAAAGATTGTATTTATGGTTCGGTACATAGGTGGCTGGCTCTTTGCTTAGAATAACAAGAAGACTACTCTTTTCTCTGGAAAGTTATTTGGAAATATTGCATTTATGATTCAATTTACTTAAAACTCGGTTCAAAGGTGGCTATTAGTGGCTTAAATTAACAGAAATAATGCTCTTCCTTCGGGAAGTGAACTATTGTAGTAACCGGACTATTACACAAAATCGTTTTTATATTTGGCTTGACAGGAATGGGGTTTTTCCGATAAAATTGTATTTATAGTATTTTTTTACATCAAGTATATTGATTTTTTTCTTTAAATACACGTATTCATGGTTCATTTTAGTAAAAATATTAGATGATACGCTTAAATCCAATACTTTTGTTTGCTGTATATGGACCAGATACCTGGATCCAAATTCGATTTGCTTTTGATTGTAATTAATACTTTTTTACGGGAAAGGGATCATCAGCAGATTAACAAAAGTCAGGGTGATTTGGATATAAACATAGATCGTCTGAAGCGACCCAAATGGCGCATTTTGCTTACTTCGAGGCATTCATATTGACATTTTCCTTAAGGACTTCAAACAGCGCAGAAGTGGGAGCAATACGAATAATAAATAAGTATACTGATCAATCTACTTGAAAGGTAAAAAATTCTTACAGAACCTTTTATCTCGAAGCACTACCGACCGTCTATAAATTTTTCACAACAACACTGCCTGTCATATCTCGATCAACACCAATGGAGGTGATCAATACTTGACTGAAATACTCAGCGTTGTCACGAATAAACTCTGCAAGTTACCAACAATTTGCGTGTCAATTCGCAATGGATATAGGGAACAGCAAGATGTTAATTGGTCGCATTTCCTGATGGATTTCATTATCCGGCAACTTCTACAAATTAGCGTCAAAAGTATAACTGATTCGCGAGTGATTAAGCCAATCTCGAGATAATAAACCAATGTGAACTAGATGAGGGAATCGGTGGGATGGATAACGCATGAGCATTAATTTTTCAGATCGGTGTACATAGTTTTTAAAACTACGTAATATCAATCAATCGAAACTCAGCAACGGTACACCTTTCAAAAGTGAAGCTGACCTCATTCCTCGAATCACTAGTATTCCGCTCGATTCTATTAAAAAATGTTGAATACCTATAAGTTAGGTTAGGTTTCAGTGGCTACTGATCTATCATACCGGATTCACTTCGACCTCACTTAGACATATTGTGATATGTTATACCACAAAACCTAAACCTACATCCATTTTGATTCTCTAATGAACCTCATTACATCTACGACTTTGACGTCAGCTATCTTCGATAGACCATCCAGTAGTAGGGTCTCAAAATTACGAAACCTCGCCCTACTCAAAGCAGAACAGTCGCATAAGAGACGGGGGATCGTCTCCTTCTCTTCATCCTTCTTGCAGCTTTTGCAGCTGGGGAGCCCCTAGTATTTTTGCCTGGCGTCCTATCAGACAGTGGCCTGTCAAAACTACTATAACTTTGCATTTATCTCCCCTTTTTAAGAAATATATATCTTGTGATCTTTTCTTATCCCACTTCGGACTTGTGTGCATGGTTTTGCGGCAGGTTGTGATGTCATTCCACCTTGTAGAGGCTTGTTCTTATATGAATTCCTTGAGCAGACAAATTTTATTACAATTTATATTTCTACATTGCTCTCAGAGTATAAGGACGTTTGTTATCTTTGCTAAGAACAGCTGATAAATGAGAAGAAAAAAGCTACTTCTTACGATTGATCTCAACGCATTTCATGTGTGAGCCCGTAGAAACTTCCAGCTGGTAGATCTAAATACTGTCTCTTAATTTAGGATCCTCATAGCCATACAACTTGTATGGGACATCTCATAATAACGCGGCGTCAACGTTTAGCAAATGGAACTTTCAATTTTGATAGCGCGTTAAATGATGAAGTTAGATGTGAAGAATAAGAGTATGAAAGAAATGAGAAAAAGCTGACGAAAGAACGGAGTATGCTTATGCAGAAATGGAAGAAGAAATAATTGGCACAAAAAAGGACTTCTTAAGAGGAACCTATATTTTCTCGAGGACTTATTTATACTGGTATTTAAACAACTATTTTTCGGAAGCGTCCGACGTCACAATTCGCCAAAAGTCCGTCAAAGAAATATATGCAATCCTAAAATTTACTATTCGGAGGTAAATCGGAGGCCAATATCATACAGCCTCCATTCAACTGAGTTTTTCATATGAGACGTTTGATAAAAAATCTCATTCTCTGCTTCCACCTGTGGGTACTGCATAGTATACATTGCGAATAATAAAAATTTTATCTAAAATTGTATCAGGTAAGAGAATTGGTATTAAATCTTGTAATGAAACATTATATTTTGGTGTGATCATAAGAGGTAGGAGCCTGCGACATGTCCGTAAAGAGCATTTCTTTCTGGTTTTTATTTATATTTAATTTTATTTAAGTATATTAAATTAAATAATTAATTTATTTTAATTTGTGTTATTTTCTTCACTTTTTTTACGTAGTTAATGTATTTTATTTCGTTCATATTATTTATTTTTTTATTTTTTAATTCCGATTTTTTATTTATTTTACTTTATTATTTTTAACTTTATTTAATAAATTTTTATTTTTTTGTTTGGTTATATTTTTTTATTATATTGTATGTTATATCATTTTATTCTGCTTTATTTTACTTTTTCTTATTTTGCTTAATTTATTATACTTTGCCTAATATTTATTATAGCTAAATTAAATAAAAAAATTAATGAGTATTCGATATTAAAATATTTTTAGTTCCTCATTACTGTATTGAAAAGGTAAAACCTGACCTATCAAAAAAAAAAAAAAAAAAAACCACCAAAAAAAAAAAATTTGTATAAAAAGTTTACTATGCCATTCGCCTAACATATGCAAATAATTGATATGCAATACTGTGTCTATCATTATCATTCATAAAAAGTGCCAAAAATATTTATATAATATGTATTTATGACTATTAAGAGGTAATACAGAAAACCATGTGCCTAAATACCTTCACTTTGTATGTATGTATATGCAACTATACAACCCATATAGATTCAAAAAATAAAAAATAAAAAAAATAACAATCCGGTGGTCAATAGTGGAATAATATTGACATTGTGAATGAAAAATACTGTGTATTTTGATTTCTTTTTTTTCATTTGTTCATTGTCGTCACGGCGCTCTCAAATGGCCACTTGGTGGACACATTTGGATAGCACGTGTCATGGCTGGCTAATGAGCTACGTCGACGACTGCAACACACGTGAATGTAGATAATGTGCAATATTTACATCGAACATATCATGTCTCGTACTTATACATACAAATGTGTGGCAATGCTTACTGTGTGTACTTTTGTATGCTATTTCATTTCATTGTCATTCATTGACACTCATTTAAATAATTATGCTTGTTGGTAGTGCTCGAAAAGGGCACA